TTTAATTTTTTTGTTGTGTGTGTGTGTGTGTGTGTGTGTGTGTGTGTGTGTGTGTGTGTCCACTGCAGTCAGGGTCATTTGAAGCCCCCAGAACTTGAGTTATAGGTGACTGTGAGTTGCCCAGTATGGGTTCTGGGACTCAACACCAGTGCTCTGCAAGACCACTATGTGCTTTTAACTGCTGAGCAATTCCTCAAGGCCCATTAAAGGTCACATGTTATGCTTAAAAGTACATGTAGCAAAAAATTTGTTTAATTCAGGTTAAGAAAGTGTACCCCAAACAAAAATGCTGTCATTAATCTTAAAAATTCTACAGTGTAAAGTTTTAATTAATTTAATTTAATTGTGAATTATTTTAATATGTGATCTAAGTTTTGAATAACATTGGCATTCTTCTTTAAATATGTTATTGCATTTCAAGAATGTTAAAAAATTCTCTGATGATTTAATCTGAAATCCATTCCTACTGCAAAATCCATTAATAATAAACACTATATTATTAATCCATATTTTAGTTTAGCTGGGTCATAGAGCAAGTTAGCTTCTGAGGGAATTCATTGTTCTTTACAAAAGAAGATGATGAGACATAATCTCTAGGGAATTAAATTGTAAAAACAATCTTGGTATTGTACATGCTAATATAAATCTGTTATTCCCTTTCCACATCTATCAAAATACATTTTAAATTGTGGCTGATCTTGTATGCAAATAGCTGTCTTATTAGAAACTGTGGCTGTATGTGCTAATGTCTCCCTGGATTTCTTGGGAGTTTGCTATCATACCAACGAAGCAGTAGACATGAATGATGATTACTGCAAAGCTTTGAAGAACAAAGGCAAGTCAGAACATTTTAGAGGTTCTAGATGTCTGAAGCATTGACAGTTTGCACCATACAGATTAATGGGCATGTCTTTAGATCATTTTAAATAGCATCAATGTATTTATTAATAAAATGAAATACCCTTCACCATCTTGTGTTTGTTGCAGCTAACAAAGTATAAGGCATTTTCATAGTATGTGCACTTTAGGCTTTTTGGTTTTTTTTTTTTTTTTTTTTTGTCACGTCATTTGGTAAAATGCTTCTTGGCTTAAAGAATAGAAAGTAATTATTTCAGAGACAAGAAAAAAGTTGAGTTTTTGAAATTTTGATAATTTATTATCAATCACTACAATAATTAGGAACAGCAATTGAAAAAAGTTCTTTCCTCTATCTCTTCGGTTGAAATTCCTAAGGTTTTGTTATAAAATTATTATTATACATCTAAAATATATATATCTGTTAATAGACTATAAGCCCTTATGAAAATTTAGAATCTTTAACCTTCTTATTTTAATGTTAATGGAAATCACATTTGAAAATAAGTAAAATCCAATTTCCTTTATTTAAAAGATGCTGTGTTTCATTATTACAGGTAATGAGTCAATCAAATACTAGCCTCCAAAGTATTATTTCTGTTGAGATGTTGATTTAAATGACCAGAAAAAAAGTAGTGTAGTGAGCAGAAATTTAGGCACATAGCGTTAGTAATTTGCTTTGTTTTGTTTGTTTGCTTAACTTAAACATATTCCATAAAGGCAAAAAAATCAAACTATATTGAAGAGGAAATATTATCTTGTGTTTTATTCATTTAAGCTAACTTGTCTCCTAAAATGGAGTATCTCTTCAAGTGCCACACAATTAAGATTAAAATAATGACTCCACTTTACTATTAATAAATGCAAACACTATGCAAATAGAATTGCTATATGAATAAATTATATCCATTGAAATTATTTATGGCTTGCCTTGACAGAACTATTTTTAATGTTTTGATTTATTACAAGTAAGACTATAGGATTAGGTGATAACTCGGTTTTATTAGAAAAATTAAAGTGTGTATTATCTTAGATGTAATAGCATCATGGTTTATTAGAGATTAAGATTTAATTTATTTGACTTTATGTTGTCCTTAGATATTTCACATTAAAGGTATTGTTATAATATTATCAATGTGAATATATTATGATTAGAAAATGGGTTTTTAGATGAATGTATGATTTTCTTACAAATGCATTAGAAATTAAGTTGGGGATGCCTTTTTGTGTATTGAATGGGATCATTGTTGGCTATCTCTGTGGGGTTATATAAAGAATGTGGTTTCACAGAACAGAGTTCAGATGTACTTGGCATTTGAGAACCATAATACGGTTCATGATCAAAATCTATCAGTTGATGGGGAGGCACTGTGAAAACGTAACACCTCAGATACTACTACTTCTGCTTGTTCTCACAGTTCTTGCACTCTTCAGGGTCCAGGCTCTTATAAGGTCTGCTGTTTTCATGGCATCATTTCTTAATCACCCTGGAGCCATCTCCGTTTCACATAGATGAATGAGCACACCTGAAAAGTATCTATGGATCACTTTTACAAGTAGTAAACATTGATTTACTCACAGTCTGCTGGCTGAAAAATAGCAATACACCATCAAAGAAGGATGACAAATGCCCATTATGCCCAGGAAAAAAACTGAAAACATCGATGTTAATAAACATCCAACAGTTTCTGTTATTGTTCTCCTTTCTGGCACCAAAATAACCACATATATATCACTGTTTCTCCTGCTTCCCAGTAACAGGAGCCTATTGGAGCGCCCCATTTATTCCGTCCAGTTCAAAACTGAGGATCTAAAGTCAAACACACAGGTCGTCTTGTCTCTCAAATTCAGCTGTGGGCTCTTTGGGGTTTATAAACTATTAAATTTGGGTCCCTACCTCTGCCTTTCCAAGCAACCCCTATAGAAATTGTGTGTTTAGAACTAATTATAGTCTTTTCAGAGGAACCCCATTGTCTGTTCTTCACAGTTCTCCAGTCGTGTTTCTTCAGTATAAAGGAGACATTATGAACGGCATAGTTTACCTCTTTGGCACTGCTTTCTGCTGGTGTAGGTGTGGAGGCCCAAGACTCATTTCCATTCAGACTCCTTTAGATAAATCTCTGCTTCCCCAATAAACACAGTTCCCTTCATTTTTGCTAATCTTTTTACCACTTCTAGTGTTTCATGTGCCTATGCTCTTACCACGGTTTCTTTCCTAGATGTGATTTTCGTATCTGTTTTTTGTCTGGGCTTCAGCACTTCTCTGCTTCCATCTTTTTCTGTTCTGAGGTAATCTGGAGTAAGAGACTCAGGTAAGACAGCTATACACTTTATCTGTGGCAGCACTCTTTCCCTCACCCCCATTCTCACTCTTCCTTCCTCAGCTCTTGCTCTTGTTCTTTTTCTTTTTTACTGAGCTTTTAAATTTTCATATAGCATTTCCCACTCAAATCTAAAACCTCCCCTCCCCCATTCATGCCTTCCCCTATCCCCCCACTGAACCCTATGAACTCTGCCGTACATGCTGAATCCTATTCATTCAGGTGTTTGTAACCAAATGTCCTTTAGTGTAAATGTGTCCACTGGAGTCTAGTCAGCCCATCCAGTGGTCATATGTAAGTCACACTCTCCCTCACCTAGCAGCAATCAGTCTCAAATAGTCAATCTAGTGCTGGCCCACCACCTATTTCTCACCCCCCCTTTGGGACCTTGTTTTATTGAGCTGACATGAGCGCCATGATCTCAGCCACTGCTGCCACAGCTGCACATGAGCAAGCCTCTGGTGACCTGAAAAACTCCACCTCCTTGTGTTCATGAACCAGCCCTGGCTCATAATTTTTCTGCTTCCTTTCCCGCAGTGGTCCCTGAGCTGTGTGTGTGTGGGGTTCCGTATAGGAGTCCCATCTTACACTCTGGCCAGTTGTGGCCTTCTGTGTGCATCGCACTCTGATGTACATGGAAGCCTCACTGTTGAGAGTTGAGGAGTGCATTAGCCCTCCCTCTATCCCTTATTCAGCTATGTTCCGTGGGCCTTAGTTGTAGAGATTTGACTGCAGATGTGTCTCCTAGTCCTGGGCATCTCCCAGGCATCTATTTCTCTTTCTGTCTCTCTCTTCTTTCCCCTCTCCCTCTTCCTTTCTTGTCACTGTCTCTGACATGAGAAATATTAACTGACCTTTTTTCTTTGGTTTATTCAGTTTTATTTCTTATTTGCTTTTAGAAGTTAGTGTTTGCACATTGAAAAGGTAAGGAAAAGCTCCCAGACACTGTGCAACAACTCATGATAGAATTTTTTTTCTCAAGGTTGAGTACCAGGATGATAGACCCATTTCTGAAAATTCTCTTTTCCATGCCTGGGCTAAACAAGTTTCTGTTTTTACAAATGTATCTTCAACCTCTGCCTGGGTTCATTTCTATTCTAGCCAGTTAGAGGGTAAGAGAGAATGCATGATTATGCTTGAGTTTGAAAATGATGCATGTCACTGCCATTCAAATTCTTTTGAAAATAACTCAATTATGTATTTGAATTTTGAATTAAAGCTAGGAAATATAGTCTAACTCTACAAGTAAGAAAAGTTGAGTATAGCTTTGTCAAGAAGATTATAGTTCTGCTGAAATATTTAAAGTTAATAAAAATAGAATTGAAAGATATATTAAAGATTAAATAAAGCTGCATATAATGTAAAACTGAAAATAATATTAAATGCTGGTAGTTTCTACTATTGATAGTTAGAGGAACATAACTGGAGCCCAAATCCACCCACCTTGGCGACATTTGCCGTGGCTTTTTAATCAAAATTCAACTGCCTGACCTTCAAGCTTCAGCCTTTCTAGTCCTAAGAAACAAAATGTGTAACTGGAAAGAAACTTGCCATTTAAAGGTAATATTCTCTAAGTTTATGGTTTAATTCAGCTCAGTTCTTGATAAAAATAAATGTTCTCAAGAACAAATGATTGAAAATTTAATTACCAGTGATTATATCCTTCATAATTCATTTGAAGTTTTATATTCTTTGTAGATATCTAATGGGAATAAGTCAACAGCATTTTTGCCAATTGCTTTAAAAATATTTTTATGGAATAATATTTTGCCAGTTTTCAGATTTTTTGCAGGGTTTCATTACAGTTATTTTCTTTGTTTTTAGCAGGTATTTTGGAGATCAAAGATGGGTAGAAAAGATTCTTCCACTGCAAAACTACCTGTTGATCAGTACAGAAAGCAAATTGGTAAGCAATGAATTTTTTGACCCACTCCTGTGATTTAAAATAAATATAAGGACAAATATGTTTGATATTAAGAAATAATTTTTTTCTAATATATATGATTGAAAAACTATATTAATAACTAAAGACTATAGTATTTAAAGTAAATATAGCCTTGTTTATCAGTAAAGAAATATACCTCATGGATAAGCACAGTGTGACCTCTTGTTCTCTGCACCATGGCCAGTTGTGTGTCTGTGTCAATCACCATCTGCTATATAAGGAAACTTCTCTGGTGAGAGTTAAGAGATGCATGCATCCTAAGTGTAGACATTACATTTAAGATGTGTGTTCTATGGGCCCAATAGATGGATCCAACATGAGAAGCATTTGGGGACACAAATTGGACTTTTATA